TTTTGCCCCAGATCCCTAAGTGGCCCCCTCAAGGATTGAACTCACAACCCTGGGTTTAGCAGGCCAATGCTCAAACCACTGAGCTATCCCTCCCCCCTTTCCATTCCCATATGCAAATCAGGTAGATCAACAATCAGATCAAAAACACCTTTCTATGCTCAGTCCCATCACCCCACTCCATACATTTTTGTCCAATCAGTGCTTCCAATGAAACGAATGTATGTCATGCATGAACTTTAAAGTTTGAACAAGCCAGTAACAAGAGAACCTAAGGAAGCTAGCCATTTGACAAACAGCACTGGTGGAACTGGGTCACAGAAAGCAATTAACAGGTAAGGAATTCCTCTTCCTGTGGAGCAGTGGCTGCCTGTACAGACCAGATGGGGCATAAGTAGGGTTATGCCCAAAGGAGAGGAGAAGTAAATGGTTCAACAGGTCTATCTAGCCCAGCAGTGCAGACTGCTGGTCCTAATTTAAAGGCAAGCAGAACTGTGTTTCACGCCATTAAACATGAGAACTAGTTCAAATATTAAGAATGGGGAGAAAGATGGTGTTCTCTTGTAGGAACATAGGAAATGCCACATTGGATCAGACCCAAGGTCCATCTAATCCAGTATCATGGCTCTGGCAACAGCCAGCACCAGATGGTTCAGAGGAAGGTATAAAAATGTCTCAGACAGATGTGGGACAACCTATTTTCCTCCTCCACCCCATTAGATTTCATCCTCAGTTCTAATAGTTACAGATTTCCTAATAAGGGGAACTAACATTTAAGGCTACATCTTATATACTCAATGAAAACCATGAAAAAATAGAGACTATTCTATGTATAAAAGCTGGACTAGGCAATGTAGTATGTTGCTGGCTCAGGTTTTCATCTCTGGAAAGTTTCAGAAGTTATTTGCTTCAATTAAGTCCCCTTTGGAGGATTACCGTCATCCTACAGTGATGGACATATTAGAAATGCATGTAATAAAAATAATTTGTCCACATAAATGCCACATTACACAGACCATGACTGGCGGTTTCTGCTCATGAGAGGTTGCACAGCTGAAGAGCAGGCGAGATGGAAACTAGGACTCAAGCCCTGGCGGAGCTGTATGGGGTTCGCTCGAACCACACAAGCATGCATTGTGCCTGGCTTGTCAGTGCTTTTAATCAGCCCCATTCAGAAGCACTGAAACTCCCAACATTCCCATCCCCCTTTGCCAATCAAAAACGTGATCTAATTATTACAAACACTTTTGTGTAATTTCAGCACTTTTGTCAGTCTGAATAATGCACGTTAACCTTAACCTGAGTGAAATACGTTTAAACAATGAAACACACTTTAAAAAAACTCTCAGGTTGTTAACTTGACCCCACACTAGGAGGGGGAACCATTTAGACTGTAGAGTTCAGCATGCTTTATATAACACATGAATATGTCCAGGTTGAGACCAAATATTGAAGATTAATTTTATTAAATCTGTTTGACCAGTTTGCTTAGTCTGAATACTTGAGCAAGAAGCTGTTGTGCATTTCTTTAGCTTGGTAGGAGAGTTGGAAGAAGGCTACCCCCGTCCTACTCGATCCAGCATTTTGGAAGCTCACATGGTGCAAAGAATTTATCACTAGATATAAAGCGCAAAATGGCTATTAAAGGATATCTAATTGGTTGTGGGTTTTTTTTTTTAATTAAAACTAGCTCTGTGGGGATTCCTGCCATTCTTGACAGTCATTAGGGAAGTTTAAGCTGCTAAACTAGCAGCCATTCTATTTTAAGCTTAATCTAAAGCAGGTGCTTGTTCCCATACCCAATTAGGCCAGTCTTTAATGTTTAATTTATGGAAAAGCAATCCTTGTGCTGTCTGTAGTGGATGTAATTTATTACAACTGCCTTTTTCAATGCAATAATATAATGACTACACTTTGCATAAATATATTGCTCTTTCAAAGATTACAATGATGTCTTACAACATCCTTGCAAGGTAGGTAAATTTTATGTACATTTTCCAAATGCGGAAACTAGGTACAGACAGGTTAAGTGATTTGGCCAAGGTCACACAGGGAGTCAGAAACCTCTCCCTATCAGCAATGGGGAGAGGAGGAGACTTACAAGCAAATTCCCTGACAAACTCCACTTAAAGAGGCAGCTTCTCTCTTTGGTGAACCACTCAGGAGCAACAAACTGAGAATCACAACCTGATGAACCAGGCTCCCAATCCATCCAGGACTCCCGCTCCTTTCCCAACCCATGCCAGGTCCAGGACCTGGGCTGGAAGGTGAAGAGAAAGTTAGGTCAGATGAGACAGACTCCCCAGCTAGTCCAACAAATGCAGATTGGCTTGGCAACAGCGCAGACCAAGCTTGATTCTAAAACCAGCATATCCCATTCTGTGGGCCTAGCCAGCCTCCCCTGAGTGGGGAGCCGGCTGAGGATCTCTGTGGAAAAGCAGCACTAGGGAGAAAAAATGAGCAGTGGACCATGGAGAAAGTGGCTGATAGTGGATGTACCTGGTGGATTCTGACTGATCCACTTGTCTTGGAGGAAAAACAAAATGTAGTAAGTGGAGGGAAAAGCTTTATTCGCCTGGAAGGCTTCTCTGAAAATTTAGGTTATCTGCAAGAATTGATGCTGATGTAGAAGAGTATGAGGTGACTGGTCGTTGTATAGTTATAAGGAGCCAAAGTGAAGTGGGACTGTCAGGTGAAATTTCAGAAAAGGATAAATTTCAGTTTCTCAAAGTATTTTCACTCATTATCATTGTGAAATAAATTATTCTCTGAATAGAAACTGGAACTGTGCTAAATTTGTAGATTGCATTCAGTGTTACTGAACTGTGAAAGGGGGATTTTAATCCCACTGCACGTGAAAAACTCCACATAATTGTAGCTATGGAGTTGCTTCCAATACCTCCATAATACTGCTTAAATAGATGGATACTTGGGGTAAAGCCCCAGCTCCTATGAAATCAGTGGCAAAACTCCCATCACTAGAGCCCTGTGCGGATACACACAGGTGTATCTGCATCTGACCCACTATCAGCAAAAATGATCTGTGGCTATCCATGGATTTGCAGGGCTCTACACTGGGGGCCAGGCTGAGGCTCCAAGGCATCTCTTCCTCCCCCTCTCCCCAGTCTGGTCAGGGAGAGTCGTGTGGGGAGCCCATGCGGAGTTGTGGACCCTGCACATGCCCTCAGCAGGGTGAGGAGTCGGGGGAGTGGGTGTGTGTGTGGGGGGGGGGACAAGGCCAGGGCTGCTCTCTGCACCCTCCCCACCGCACCGCGAGCAGGTGGAGGGTGCACCGCGAGCAGGTGGAGGGTCCACCGCGGCTCCCCACAGCTCCCCGGGGGCTCCATGCTGGCCGGGCGTGGAGGAGACCCGTGGAGCTGCCCAGGGGCTACTCGGTCCCCCCACCCAGGGCAGGTGGAGGGTCCGCTGTGGCTCCCCACAGCTGCCCACCTGGCTGTTACCGTGGCTGGGCTGCGGCTCCAAGCCGCCCCTCCCCCGGCTGGAGTCAGGTCAAGGAGAGCTGCGCTGGCAGCTGTGCGGAGCCGTGGCAGACCCTCCACCTGCCCTGAGCGGGGGGCTCAAGCAGCCCCCAGCCCATGTCCCTGCTCCCCCCAGTCCCACCACCCAGGGCAGGTGGAGGGACCCGGGCTCCCCACTGCTGCCAGCGCAGCTCTCCCCGACCCAGCTCCGGCCCGGTGGGAGGCGGCTCGGAACTGCAGCCCAGAGCTGCAGCCCAGCCACCGTAAGAGCCGTAGCGGACCCTCCACCTGCCCTGGGCGTAGCTCCAAGCAGCTCCCTGCCCAGTGTCCCTGCTTCCCAGGCTCCCCGCCCAGGGCAGGTGGAGGATCTGTGCCGCGGTTCCTCACAGCTGTCCGCTTGGCTCTTACCGTCAGAGCCCTGCGCGGATACAAAATTTGTATCCGCATCCATGCTGCTATTAGCTAAAATGGTCCACGGATCTCCACCTCTGCAGCTATATAGCAGATACCCACAGATTTGCAGGGTTCTACCCCTCAATTCCCATGCTAAATATTTATAGTTATATCATCACACAGTTTGGCAAAGAAATTATCAAAATAAAATAATTATCCCCTAGGACTACTACATATTGTAAAAGGTTGTGCTTGAACACACTGATATTCACTTGTTGTCAAAGCAGGATTAGAGTGCAGATTAAAGGACTGTCAATTTCTGAATTGTATCACACTGAACTCAACATTTGTGCTTACATAATAAATGAAAAGAATGAAGAGGAAAAAAAATACAGAATGGGAAGAACAAAGCTAATTGCTAGACATATATATACACATAAAATATGGATAAGTACTTCCTTGAAACTCAACTAAGCCTCAAACTGACTTGATAGGATACATACAATTAATATTCCAATGTGTTAACATATTTGGACAACTGAAATGCTTATCATGTAGGTTTCATGACAAACTCCCATGGAAATAATGCTTAATTATGTCTCAAAATAATTACAAAATAATAGCAGTTGCATTCTACACACATGAATCAGAAAGACCACGTAGACAAGTATAAACAAATCATCTAAACTTCCAATTAATTACTGCTGATCATAAAGGAAGACACTTTTCAAAATAAATTACAAGGCTAATTAATTGTTGTCACACAGAAAAGTAACAATGTAACATCATTACTACTTACTGTAATTTTAGCTTGGTTAGTTTGAACAAAGGCTATAACATTTAAAAAAAATAAATAAATAAAAGTAGCTTCCAGCTTTTATTTTGATCACTTTAAGTAGGTATTATTGGATAATAGCACTGACTATTGTTAGACCACTGAATAATTGGAAGTGGAAAGTTAACATTTAAAAAGTATCAAAGGGGTAGCCGTGTTAGTCTGGATTTGTAAAAGCAGCAAAGAGTCCTGTGGCACCTTATAGACTAACAGACGTGTAGGAGCATGAGCTTTCGTGGGTGAATACCCACTTCTTCGGATGCATCCGAAGAAGTGGGTATTCACCCACAAAAGCTCATGCTCCTACACGTCTGTTAGTCTATAAGGTGCCACAGGACTCTTTGCAACATTTAAAAAGGATCGCTAAATTTCAAATAAGGTTAAAAAAGGGCCCAGAGGAAAGCATGAGACAATGAAAGATGACTAACATCTAAAAGTTGCTCTATTCAAGCCCTGACATAAGTTATGTAGGCTACCAGGAACCTTTATGGTCATATGACAAAAGCAACCACTTACTTCAGTCAAAGTTACAGGGACAGACTTGATCAAAATAAGAGCAAGTCACTGTGCCTTGCTGTACATGCACATAGCATCACTCAGTTCGATGTAGGCAATTCTGACTTGGCCTTGAATTGGATTGCCTAACATGTTCAGTTCCTGTTAGAAGCTTTAGGATAGGAATTAAGAAACATGGATTACAGATGTTTTGGAAGCAGCACATTTCACTAATCTGCAAGAAAATGCAAAGAAAAATTACCACTGCATTTGAAGATACAAAGGGCCCAAATTTAAAATGGTCTTTATTAATGCACCCCCAAAGTTTGCAGATGCATCTGTTTATCCACATAAAAGAATGCACACATCTGGATGAACATGTAATTACACTATTTTGCTGGGTAAACATTTGCACTCAGGGATATTGTGAGCCCTTCTTTTGGGATGTCTCTGAAATTTAGTCCACAGCTTTTTATATAAATGAGGTCAGATTCATCATGTAATTATTAAAGAAGACTAATCAAAACACTCTTCCATACTCTTGCAAAGTGATTCTAAGAAGAAACTGAAAGATTCATTGAAAGGTATAGATTGGACTTCCAGAGTCTAGCCTGTCTAGAGTAAAAAGAAAAAAAAGGGTGAAATTAGTAGCCATAGTGTGGTAAAAGGCTTGCAGTTTCTAAAAAGTAGGGAAATAATATGAAGTAAAATAGATTTCAGAAGCAAATATTTCCATATCTTGCACTGTACAGTATCTGTAAACTTCCCCCTTAAATCAAAACTGGTACTTGGCACAGAAATCATTAAAAATGTAAAAGGGACACTCAGTTTTCCATAAATCTGGACTTTTTATATTAAAAACAAAGCAGACAGGCTAAAGGCAGTTTTCTTTGCACAGACGCAAATCATATTTTTTTTAAAAACTGAGTTTGATCTTGATTTCTCCAAGGAGTTCTCTGTAAAATTCTTCTCTCTTCCACCCAAACCCTTGAGTCAGAATCACCAATCTTTTAATGTGTGTTTAAACACACTGATATTCATTTTAATGTGCTAGGCTCATAAAACAGCTTTACCCAGATGAATAAAATGCTTCTCCAAATTCTCAAAACATCCAAAGTTACAGTAATAAGTGTGTTCATATTTTTCAGTTGAGCTAAAAAGATTTGCATCCATCAGTTTGTTTTAATTAAAGGCAAATTGCTGCTTCATGGTGTACAAAAACCAGCCTCTGCTACTTCAGTTGAGAGGAAGAAAGCTCCAGCTCAAGTTTCAGCATAGTGTGATGCCATTATTCTACACAGTTCTCCAACAAAAAGATGGAAGCCCAGACTTGGTATTTCTAATGTAAGAGGAAAAAAAGCTAGAACACTTTTGGGGGGAACAAACAACGATTTTGGGGCCTTCTTTAAAAATAATTTAGCAGTAAATAGCAAAACATTTCCCCCACTGCCATTCTCCTTTGAAATGGAACAGGAGACTATTGTACAAGTTTTTACTTTATTTCTGAGATCACACTGAGCTTTCTAAATGACTCCATCCTGACATGCATTAATTCAAAGCGATCTCCAGCACCTTTAAGAGAGACATGTACTGGTTTTGACTAGAGTCAAATTAGTTAATGTAAGAAAGAAAATATTGTGGGGGGTTTTATTGTTAGCAAGCAGTGTCAGAAAGTTAGAAAAATTCAATTCAGTCTTTAACACAAAGAGAAGTTCAATTACAACTGCAACTAAAATTGTGTAGGTAATCATTAAAAGCATAGAAGGATATATTTACTAGTAAGCAGATTCTGCAATCCTAACTGGAACTGCAACCAAGAGTAAAATACTACTCAGTGTAACTAAGGATGGCAGAATCTGACCCTAAAGGATTATACTTTTTGTAAATAATCTTTTAAAATAAGTCACATTACCAGACATGGATTTTAGCCATCTATTTCTTATTTAACAGTAGCTGCAAACAACCTAAGTACACTGGTTATTCAAAAGTTTATAAACAACTTGCAAACTGAATAATACCAGATAACATCAGATTACAATGAACACCCTGTATCAGAGTTACACAGAAAAAGCCTCAGGGAAGAAAAGCAGCAATGACTGTTACAATCATGCACACAACTGTTTCAGAAATAGTATGCCGTGTGAGTAATCCAATTGGAAGACTCTTCCTTCGAGCGTTTTGCTGAGCTGTGTGACGTAAAAATAGACTTGTATGCCTCTGATTTCTCCTGACTGTCGGCAATGGATCTCTTGGTGGTGCCAGATGAAGCTTTACTGATTTTTCCTGATGCAGAAGAGCTTCCATTAGCTTCTAGAAAAGAAACAAAAATACTATTTCTCTAATTTTGCAAATCTAAAAAACCCCCAAGCTATTAAAAAAATCACTTTTGCACCTCTGGAAGATAAACTTATCTTGGCTTGGTTCAGAAATCTGACAGCTACAAATATCTTTCATGAATGTATGAGGTAGTTCCTAGTTTATGTAATTTGTACCTCTTTCTGCACACACAAAATTGGCAGCTAAATCTACATACAGGAAAGCACGTCTCCTTCCACTGTGTGTGCATGTACACCCTCCCTTACCCTTCTGCACTGCTTAACACAGTATTGACATCATCTACTGCTGTATGCAAAAAAACAGAGCTCTGAACTCTGGTCTTAGCAAGTAAGTGTAGGAGGGTATTTTTCTTCAGCTATTGTTTTAAGATTAGTTATCAAATGACAAAAGCTACACTTGTGACGTTTATCACTTGGGAATCTATCTACTCCTTTTATCATTGATGAAGTCATTGAAAAACAACAACACGTGTCTTTTAATCATTTTTCATTCAAGCCAGAAAAATACCCATCCCTTTGTTTCTGATGCCATTTCCTTTTGTGTGTTGGATTTACTGCTAATATGGAAGCTCCTCTCTGCAAACACTGGCAGAAACGCTCAGTCTTTTCCAAGGACGGAGGTACAGCAAGATTTTTAAAAAGCAGCTTTAGACCACAAGCAAAAAATGTGTACACAAAAGTCTGGCAGAAACTGCACATAATTACTGCAATTATGTGTAAATTAGGCACAGTTGCATGTGTATTGCTAGTTTGCAGCATATCTGCATGTACATTTACCTGATTTGTGCATGCAATCATAGGAATTGCACATACAATCCTAAATAATCATGGACCTTAGCCTTCTCATTTTGGAAAATGCCCTCTTAATTGACTGGAGAGGATTAACAAAAGGTGGATTTGGAGTACCCATCCCTTCCCTAAAAAATAACTCCACGAAGAGGTTTATCCTCACCTTGGGGAACAAGAATTCAAAGATACCCACCAAGAATGACTACTGCACCAAGATATATGAAAGAATCAAAATGGGTCCCATAAATCCATGGAAATTTTAGGGCCCAGCATTCAGCAAATTAATTTCCACCTAGCTCCTAACCTACCTAGGTTTCTTTTTCCCTCACTGGATTTTTTTTTTTTTCAGTTCATTAATGCAACCTATTTATGCAGAGACATAAATTAATGACCTGTCATTTCAAAAGGGTCAAGCAATTATTCCTTTGCTCTGATAAATTATTTCAAGCATGATTAGAGTTAGTATGTTATTAGAGGTCTACTAGCAATAATAATAATTTAGGATAAAATATCAATTTAAGAATCATCACTTATAAACTGAAGAACTCAGTAGCTCTTTGGGGAGAGGCAGGGATCCAGACACTTATAATGAAAATACTCTGCGTACTACACAGAAGCACTATCGCTCATCATTGAACTATCTCTGGATTCATCAAACATTAGATGACTTTCTCTTCAGAAAATGTTGTTTTCTCTTACTGTAACTTACATGATTTCGAATCTCATTTCTAAACTCTGACTGACCTTTACAATGTGCTCATTTTTATGGCTCTGGATAAAAAAAAAAATCAATATGAGACATTAAATTTTGTCGTATATATTACCTAAAGTCGTACTGCTACTCTCTGGACTAATGGGTAGCCAAGTGTAATCTTAACTTCATGACTGCTGCTGAATACATTAGGAATGTCCTGAAGTTACTCTTCGGTGTTCTCACTGACATGTAGCAGAACAGCAATCAAGTTATTAAAAGATCCAAAGCTGGTAAGTCTCGTTTGAAATGAATGTCAAAAGAGACTTGTTCTTCTTCAGATTTAATGGGAAATGACAACAAATTTTCTGCAAATGTTATAAACTCCCCTCACCACTACCAACCTTGCATACTTAGATGGGCAAGAATATATATTTTTACCAATTTAAATCCTATAAAAACTGGAATTGGTAATGAAAACCATAAGGTGACCCTGCCTTATTTTACACTAAATCCTCTTCTATGATGCATTGAACAAATCCCTCATGGGGTCATTTATTTTGGGAAGTTTTTTTTTTTTTTTACATTACTTTAACATAGCTGACGTTTTTATGGTTTGAGAGGAAATACTAAACAATCTTCAACTCCTAAATAATGGTATTAACACCACAAAGTGGAACTGATTAAGATACAATCGGTAAAACAGACATGTAGAAAGAAAATACGAATGATATTAAGGACCCAATTGTCAGACCCAGGCTTCTGGGTGTGCATGCAAACGTCGGAATGCACTCTGCACACATCCCTTGGAAAGTTTTAACACCCTCCATGTGTGCACAAATGTTAGACTTTTACCTCTTGCTGGGCTTTATAAGGACAAATTCTCTAACACTCTGCACATGCTTCCCTTAGAATTTTCAAGCATGTTTGCAACATGTGGTTGCATGGGTATGTATGAGCCATTTTGAGCGCACACAGAGGGAGGCAGGGTAAAAGCCTGGTCGAAAATTTGGCCCCAAATAGTTAACAAAGAATCTCTATAAATATCTGAGCACAGGAAAACAGTTTATGAAAATTTTCCCAGTTAAACTGAAACACACACTAACCTGTACTCTTTGTGAAGACAATCTGTTTTCTTTCTCCAGAATTAGTGTTCATGTCATCTTTTGCACTCTTTACTTCTGATGGCCCTGGAGAATCTACAGAATTAAAAAAAGCTAAAGCATAAGCTTGTTAAATTACTCAGAAGGTAAATGTCAATTATAGCTGTGACAACGTTACCTTCAGGGGTGTCTTGTTGAGAGACCGATTCTGCTGCCTTACATTTCTTTGATTTCTGAAACAATATAAGCAGAAAACTGAGGTTACCTTTAGAATCTCCATATGCAATATCTAATCAAGTGTGTGTTTGATAGAAATATAAGTACCTTTGCTATGCTTATGTGTTTTATACAATGAACTTGTTTCTTTCCATACAATTACTTTATACTTTTCTTACTATTTTAGTATAGAAAATAATAGTTGATTAGCTTGGCGGCATTTCAAAGAAAACCCCATAGGCTGAAACTAAGCTGCCTAAAAGCAGTTTTTTTACTTATTTGGTTTCATTTTTTTAAAAAAATGCAAACCCTAATTATTTTATTAGTAAAATGACCAGCTATTCAGTAATCTTATTGACTAGCACTGAAACCATTTGGCAAGATACTACAGCTGGGCACAATTGTAATGAATAATGGCATTTTTGAACAAAAGAAGTTTCAGCATAAACAAATAATATAATTCAATCTTTATTTTTCTCAGTTAACCTCCTCATTGGGTTTAGCTGCTTTATATTTCCTACAGTTTTATCAAGGCTTTCCTTCTTCTGTGGATACTCACTTGAAAAACAAAGCTTAGTATAACAGTTAAAATTAATTTCTCAGAAGGTTGAAAAAAAAATCAGTTCAATAGCATCTCTTGGCAAGATTTTCAAAGCCCACTCTTGTATGTGCTCAAATAAGACAATCTGTCTGTGCATTAGAATATGTAAAAATATATTTAAAAAACTGTATGAAAATAGTGGAGAAAAACTGACAATATTTGATGTTTAAAGATTTGCTGACAAAGTGAAGAAATTTACAAACATTGCAAAAAAAAAATGACTATCCCAATGAAGGTAAACATTTAAAATATGTTGCTGAATCTATGAGCTCACATACTGTCACAAGTATGATTTAATCTTACGGGGAAAAGTGACATAGCAAATGCTGCTCTTAGTCTTGTCCAGCAGGTGGTGCTAAAAGGCCACTATTATAAAGCCAGAAATAAATTACTATGATTTTGTTTGCAGGTATGTGGATGTAAATAGGACTTTCTCTTCACTATGCCTCCATCTTTATGTTATGGACATGTAAGACACTGAAATTTACAAGAACGCTATCTGAGTGCTTCAGAAAGCAGGATTTTTGTCTATTTCAATAACCTGTCTGCTTCAAACACAGAATAGGCAGAGAGAAGGGATGATGTATTGGAAACGTGTCCTCGTTCATGGAAAAGCTCTGCATGCTAAATCTGACAATGGATCACCTGACAGCAGTTGGGGCTTTCACATTTTAGTTCTTCATCCAATAAGCAGACAGAATGTATGTATTAGAGCTAACAGATTACAACAAAATTGCATTTTCAGGGTAGGTTTTAGCATTGAGTATTCCTTTAGCAGCCCAGCTAACAAGCCTGTCACACTTGCCTGCTCTCCAGTGAATCAGGAGTCCAAAGTTGTTACTGACACCAGATAACCAAGTAGAGGTGTTGAACAGAAGATGCAGCCCTAATGATATTTACTGACACTATTGAAAGAACATGGATTTGTTGGGTTTTTTTGGCTTGAACAACGCAGAATATCTACAAAAAACTTGGCATAAAACAGGGTTCTCCCTTCCACATCTCCATTTCAAGAATTAAAATTATCAGGAAACTTCTAATTTCTGAAGCTAGATGAGGAAGCACTGCTCTTGAAATGTAGACCTAAATAAGAGTTTTGTTCATTCAAATTTGCATATTCTGATGGTTGCTACCCAGCAATTCCAAAGACCAAGGAGGCTCCCCATTGAACCAAGGAGAAGCTGCAATACAGCACACATTAAATACTTCTTGTATAAAATGCTACTTTAATTCAGTTTGACAAGGATAAGAACAAGATGCACTCTACCCACAGGAGAAAAGAACAGCAACCAAAGACCAAAATTAGATTGTAACAGAAGTTATTACTCAGACTGAGTGGAAATAAGTTAAATGTAAAAACTAGTGCCAGTAAAATAAGTGTTGTTCTTTCGTATGGCTTGAGTAGGTAGCAACAACTACAAATTAGTAAAATATGGGTTACTAAAAATGATAATAGCTTATTATTTCTTATTAAAACCTATTTATAAAGAGACTACCATGAGCTTAAGTAATTAATATAAAACACATTGTAGAATGAAACTTGTATAGATCTTATAGGCAACCACCTGTTTTAAACAACTGTTCTAAAGGATTCTCAAATGTATCAAGTACAATTCTGTTCCTGTATTATTAGAAAACCATCTCTAAAAGGTCACTTAAAATACGCTTCACCATAATATAAAAACAAATGCAACTGAGGATAAGTGACACGCAGAATAACTGATTAACACCTTCCAAATACACATGGCTGGCCTCTAGCACAACAACATTGAAGAAGCAATGCTATTACCCTGGCTGGAGAATTAAAATTGCATTCTGACATATTTTAGTTAGCTTTTGAACAGGAAAGAAGACTCGAAACAGCTGAAAAAAGCAAAACTACCCGGGGACTATTTCAAAATAAGTAGCTGCAACAATTTAGACTCATTAGGCCAACTATGATTCTTGACGATTTCATGAAACACGGTGAGGGGGAGTCAGCTGGAAGCTGGGTTGTGTTCTTAGCACATATTGAGGTTGGTGAGATAGTGTTTAGGACTGAGGGTAGGAGAGAGGTACAGGTGCAAGGAGGAGCAAGCATAAAACAGTTCGTATTATCGAGGATCCTACCAGTTCTATAGTTAAGGTTATAGAAGGATTTTGACTTTTGACCGGACCTTTTCATTTGGATTCATTCTTGGACTCTACTGACCACATATGACTCTCCTGAAAAGTCCTGAATTTGTGTACATATTGAATCCAAATTTAGTCACTTCCTTGCTTCAGAGCAACTACTCAAGTAGTAGCTAATCTGATATAGAAGCCAATGGATTTGTTTATTTCTCTCTGATTAATTTGCTAGATTATAAATTACTGAGATGAGCAGAGAGAAAAGGTGGCGCTATTATGAATAATACAAGAGTTTAAACTAAAACTATGGTTTGAAAAAAAACCACCCACAATAAACAAGGATATTTGGAAGGAAGCAGAGCACCCTAAACTAAGCCCTGCTGACTTTAGACACTTAACCACATGTGAATATCTATTCATTCTCAACATTGTTCCTTTCATACTCCTGAAGGACTCCCAAAGCATTCTGGACATTTATTGGCTAGTTTTTCAAATTCATAAGCAGCTACATTACACAATTTACTGCAGGAAGTGACCACCACAATATTCAATGGAAACTGTAGGGGAACATTTAGTGGGCAGAATTACCAAAACTTTTAATTTGGTCAGCAGACATGGGTAACAACTTGATGCTTGTAAAAAGTGCCACAAAGTCTAATGACAAGAGATTGGGACCTTGGTTTTACATCTAATCCAAAGGACAGTATCTCCACCAGCATGGCGCCCCTTGGCACTGTGAAAAGGGATTGGTTCTGTACCAATTTAGAAAAACAGTGCCACCAACTGCACCACCAATTGCCAGAATACTAGATCCAAATATTGGCCAAGACTCATACTACTTAGCTGGTGACATCTGATGATACCTGAGCTCGAGACGGGCATGCCTATAAATGTCTGTTAGAGGTTCACCACCCTGAACAACGTTACGTATCCAGGTGGCTTTTTAAAACAGACTAGAATAATGAACTATAAAGTGGTGCACACACTATCCACGTACACAGATGAGTAGGAGAAATATTTTTCTTCCAGTAGCAGTGTCCGATGAGTTAGTCATCTACTTTTTTTTATGCACAATGACGATCAATTAGGAGTAGTCTTTATGTTGAATAGCTGCAAAGTATGTTTCAATATTTATTTCTATTGCATTTTTTCCAATTGTCTTTATTATTATTTGTACTGACATTTACATTATGGTATGCTAAAGTGGCCGCCATACACTTGAATTGATGTTGGTTGCTTTAGTCTTATAAGCATAACGATATCTTTCTGGGACTTGGTCTGGAATAGACAGTGGTTGGAGCATTTGCCTGTTAAACCAAGGGTTGTGAGTTCAATCCTTGAGGGGGCCATTTAGGGAACTGGGGTAAAAATCTGTTTGGGGATTGGTCCTGTGTTGAGCAGGGGGTTGGACTAGATGACCTCCTGAGGTCCCTTCCAACCCTCATATTCTATGAAAACATTTTGCACCTAAAATGCATTGTCTTGCTGCAGGAGAATGCTGTAGAGAAACAACTAATACTTAAAAAAAAAATTGTTCTGGATAAAACTGAAGCATTCAGGTCAGTGGGTCTAACGTGAACTAAAGAGACTTACCAGCAAGAAATAAAATGTGGATAGCTTAGAATGAATGTGGTTCATTCTCAGAATCAATGAAGAATCTCTGTTTGTACAAGTTGAACTTTCACCTATGAGATCTTTTCATAAAAGATCTCATTACACACACTCAACTTCCTAGCATTTTTAAGTCTCTGTAAAATCATTACCTTTCCCACTTTACTCTTAAGCCTTCTCTCCTCCATTCTTTTCTTCAGCACTTCCACATTTTCTTTATTACCATTAAGTATAATCACATCTTCTTCTTGAAAGGAAACACCACACTTCAAAAGAAAAAAAGGAAACAAAATATAACTTTTCAAAATCTGAAACAGACGTTTATGCTGGATGGATCTTTGTTTAAAAAGTACCATTTTTTTTTAAACACTCCTCAAAGAACTGCCACATCCTTATCCTTCCTTCCTTCTGCCTTTTCCATTTTCATTTTCTCTCCCCATTTTTCTGTGTATATTTCTCTACTTTTAGACACCAATCAGAAGCTGCTGCAGAAATGGAATTATACCATGGTCTTGCACAGAAGTGCTTCAACTCATGAGGGTGAATAAGGAATGAAACTACCGTTAGCACCTCAGGTAAAGTATCTGCATGGGAGCCCAGTGCGATTCCATTTTTGCAGCAGCTAACTGTGCAGGTTGCCCCATACTTGTCAGCTAGGAAAATGGAGGCATGTCCATTAGTCCTCATGCTTGATATTTGTTCAATACTGAAAGTTAAACATTTGCACATATATAAACCCAACTTAATCTAGACCAGTAGTATGTATACATGTCAAGGTGACATGCAAAGGGTTGTGCACTAATTGTGCTTTTTTCTGAGGTATAAATGAGGGCTGAAAAGATTTTCCCCTTAAGCAATAGTGAATTTTTCAGACACCCTCTGTTTGTCAGGTGTTTGAGTTAAACAAGAATAGTTTTGAACAGTGCAACCAAAAATCCCTCTTCTGTCAATTGCTCCAATATTCTCTAGGTACCTATGTCAGAATCCTACTAGTTCTCCAGACCGTCAATGTTTTCCACCAAAAAAAAAAAAAAAAAAATCTAGACAGTAACTGAATTTCTAATGGGACGGAGAGAAACCAAAATGTCAAGCCCCCTTCATACCTCAAAGAAGAAAACAGAGCTTAAACTTTTTTTGTTTTTAAAGCACTTTGAAGATCACCTTTAGCAGACCTTTAAAAAGAGTGAACATGGGTTTTTACCACACAAAAAGTCCTTGAGTTCTACTTGTAAGTAATCACATTGTGAGAGAGAAAGCTAAAAATAAAAGTGAGCATTTTGTGTCAAATCAGTTCAGAAAGTTAGTTTAAATCAGTGCAGCCCCCTTGTCTGGGCACACTTAAATTGGTTTAAGAGTGCCTTGTATTGCTTTAGCTTAATTTAAACCTGTAAGCCTATCTCCAATCAGCACCAAGCCAAAACTATGCGACTGGCTGACAGTATACAGATCACTTGGAGGGCAGCTCACTACTGTATCAAATTAAGAATAGACACACAAAACACATCTTGAAGTGAATTTTGTTTCAGTGTTTTGATAGGTTAAAACTTTGCTGTAGCATAAACAGATTACTCAATTAGCTTTTGGCACAAGAAGGGAGACCAGACATTTCCTAAGTTAAAAGGCAGTGCTCTAATGAAAAAGGGTTGTGGTGGGAGTCCACTCTCCAATTTCCAAGAAATGTAAATGATTAATTGATTAGATGGACTATCTTATTTTCAAGTACGGTTAAGGATGTGTCTAGGATTACATGTAATTACCAAAAATTCTTTTCATTTTTTATCATCAGCATTAATATACTTTGGCGTTAAGGAAATTAATTTTTCTTTTTTAAGGTGCCTGATGTATAGATTGAACTAATCATCTACTACAACAGGGGTTAATTTTCTTGCCCCTCCAGCAAACCTAAAACGAAGGGGCAAGAAATTGCAAGCAGCAGAACTGGCGATTGCATGTGTGCAGATAATATACACTAAGTAAACCCAAAACAGCAGTAAGCACTGTTGGGGTTGATTCATATCGCCTTACTGTGACACAGTTAGCACTGGTGTCACAGTAACCACCATGAAAGGTTGGGGCTCCCTCTCACAGCTCCCTCCAAAAAGTCATTTGCCTCTGGATTCGGACCTTGCTGTCCAAAGAGTGTTTTCATTACTTGGTGTGTAAATGCAATTTACATAGAAATCAGTTCTTAATCTGGATTAATAAAGTCTTCAGCACAAAGGATACCAATGGAAAAAACAACAGCAAGAAAGCAATAGTGGAAGGAATGTGATGCTATAGTACTAACTAGTAATTTATCTTAATAGGACAATGAGATTATTTTAATGAATGTTTTATCACCTCTAAATTTCCATCATTTACCATAATCACAATAAATTGCTTTTCCTGTAATAGAAACTAAACTAGAAAACAAAGTTGGCAATATTCCTTTGTTCCATTACATCAATATGGGTAATTCTTATCTTATTTTTCCCCTCTTTCTTCAACTGCTAAATCAAAGGAGAAAATCTCTTTCAAAGTAGGTTTCAGAGTAGCAGCCGTGTTAGTCTGTATCCGCAAGAAGAACAGGAGTACTTGTGGCACCTTAGAGACTAACAAATTTGTTAGTCTCTAAGGTGCCACAAGTACTCCTGTTCTTCTTTCAAAGTAGATGATCGGAAGTATTTTCTAAATACAAGAGACCATAAAACATAGCTATTAAACTATAGCCATCATGTTTTTTAGGACAGGTTTAAACAACATTCTTTTGTTGAAACCTTTGTTCTAATACGTATATTTAGCTACCCACTTAAAACTATTTATATTCATAGTCAGTTGAAGGAAAAATTTCAGTATTTTGGTCTGTTGTAGAAACAACCACCCTCTGAGTATATCCCTTCAAAGGGATAATAAATACTGATGATCTTAATGGTGAACCATGCACTTAAGATAACTACATGTACAAGAAATTAATGTATTTGTATCAATCTGCATAGCAAATTCTAAAAATATTCCAATTGTACTAGAACATTCCGAATTTGTACAAAACCCTATTCCATGCAAAAAGGTACAGAAATTGCATAGTTACACCACTATTTCTCTCTTCCCAGTAGTAATCTTACCCGGACTTTTTCTTTCTTTTTTTTTTTTTAAATGGAGGTATCATTGTACATTTTCTGTCCCAGTTGTAGACTTTTTCTAACTGGTCCAGAGTCTAATTTTCTTGCATAATCTATTAAAGAGGAAACCAACCTCTTTTTTTCCTACAAATGCAACTAGCATAAAGAACAAAAGCACACAGGCATTTTTCTGCTGACTCGTTGCCTGTGAATGTATTTAACTAATATTTCAAACTATGCCAATTCTGCTCTGAAATTTCTCTCTCTCAACAGGGCAATATTTTAAAGTGGAACTGTACTTGAAAGCAACACTTCCCTGTATTGATAAGAAATAAGTATAAAGATGACACCCTTTCAGGGGTTTATTCCAGAGAGACAGTACCATCTGATGGGCAATTTGCTTTCCGCATGGCACAGCTATCAAACTGCAATTTTTTGAAAGGCTGTGGTGTGGATAAAAGAGGATAATGGAGGTAGTAACACTCAGTGGGACTTGTACAAGACATTAGAGTTGATATAGTTTCTATTTTCCTCCTCTTGCCTCTCAACTATGGCACTCCTGATCTACTCTATCCAATATATGTAATACTAAGGACTTGCACATTGCTTTACAACCCAAATGCCCTGTATGTACATTTACTAATTAATCTCCATGAGGTACAAAGTTTTCTTCCATGCATTTTTCAACTTCATTCATAGAAAGAACAGTTACTTACTCTACAAGAACAGTGGATCTTTGAAATGCTGAAGTTTGAAAAAGATTCTTGCACAAGTTTGGAATCTTTTCTGAGTAACAGTGTGTCGGGGCCATGCACGCACCCTGCGGTCGCCTTGTGCTCCCATGCAAGGACATAAATGGCTGAGCAACCATGACCCTCCCTCAGTTCCCTCACAATCGGAAGCCTGTGACTGCTGAGGACCATGAAAAGCAGGGACATAGGATGGGTCATGGGATCTACTCTGACTACAACATTTCAAAGAATCACAATTACTGTAGGGTCAGTAACTGGTTCTCACGTATGTGTCAGTGTGGTCCAATTTTGGAGGGTTCTTGTCTTCCAGAGTCCCCTCAGATGAGCTTTTTCCTGAACCATAAATACTAATAAAGATCCTGGATGTATGTAAAATTGTTAAAAACTTTTAGGTGGAACTTGGTAGTGCTTTTCTACTAACTTTGAGGGGGAGGGAAAACAAGACTGGAGTGTGCTACAACCCCTTTGCTGGGTATATTATGTACTGATTGATTGGAAGGGCAATTATTGATGGTGCTGAGGATGTCAAACAGCTTATGCATGTTCTCTTGGATCACCATTGTCTTAATGTCCAAGGTTTCAGTTATCCTCATAAGCAAGTCCTGGAAGGCCTTAAAATCATTTTGAGCCAATGTCGGGACTGATCTAACTGTCCCATCAGGAGAAGATGAAAATGCCTTTGGTGGGGAGGGCAAATGAAGTGTCTCCAGAACCACCTGTGCCCTAAAACAAGGAGTTTCCTCTAGCTCAGGTATGAGGGGCTTGGTATGGTCAGTGAACCTGCTGATGTCAGAGACTTTATCCTCTTCCTTGAAACCGGAGATGGACATATGGGAAGGTGGGCCCCCCGTAAGGCCAATATGACTGAAGTGGCAAGTTATAAGAGTACTGGCCAGATTCCAGTTGACTAGTCTATTGTCAATCTTCCATTGGTGCATGGCATGGGATGTGTCTGGAACTCCCTAGAGGGTCCTTTTCTGATTGATGCGAGCAGGTTCCCTTCTTGATAGAGGGCAGAAGGTATAACTTGGAGATGACAAAGAGAAGTATATGTCCATGAACAGCAGTGCCATTGGATGCAGGGCTGCTGCCTGCTCAGATGCAGTGTGAAAGGTAATGAGTCTCTCTACTAAGTTCTCTCTCTCTCTCTACCAGCAAGGGTCTGCCGATTGGTGCCACTGTCTGTACTGGTGCTGGTCTTGATTGGTACCAGTGTCACTATTTCTTCCACTTTCTTTTCAGTCAGTACCTTGTTCCCTGGGCTCAACGTTGATGACTATTTTAAGTCTTCCTTGCAAGATGATTCCACTGCATGCTCAGAGCTGTGCTTGTGCTTGGTGCAGATTGGCTGCTCAGCACTTCTTGAAGTAGATGGCATATGTTCCAGGTCTCTTTGTCCTAGAGTAAGTGCTGATG